CGTCATTATCTCCATGGCAACCACTCTCCATATTAGGCGAACCGTGAAAACAATATTTTGCTTCTATTCTTCGAACCGAAGCAAACAGCAAAATTTGAATCGAAAAGTCTAAATTTAAAACGCGAAAAACTTTACGAAAAGGTCCTAGTCAAGAGAAATTATAAGACAGAAACGAAGAAAACATTTTTAAAAACCTTCAAAAAGCGGGAAAATTACAAAACACGAACGAAAGTTGATATGATTTTGGACGCGTATACTTCACAATTTAATATGAAAAAATTATTTGTACAAAGCAATTCATTGTTTAAAATTACTCGCCTGTACGAAATCGAGAAATTAAAAGAACAAATAGCATAACAAAATCYAAATAAATTCAATTATAGGTTTCTTTCTACGATTTTTGAAGTGTTCCATTGAGCCTAGTAATTTTGCAGATAATATATATTTTTTCATTAGTGTTATTACACTCGTCTGATTTTAATTAATAAGCTCTGTTTGTTTTCTAACCTATCTTGAGTCAATRATCTGGTCGTGATAGCTATTTTCCTTTATTAAAACGCGTTATTGAATCAGATTGGTGCTGTTAGTGTCTACTTTACCCGCATAAACTGCTGTCAAGGATTATGATATGAAAGAGTTGACCAGTGTCGTGTGATAATACAAATAGATCTAGAAAAGACTGTTAATTGAGTAGAAAAGTACTATTCAGCAAGAACAAAAGAGACAAGAGAAACAGAAAACTACTAAAGGAAGAACTACAAGGAAATATTGGTAAGGCTCGATCAAATGAAGAGTAAATAGCACCTTAATTTATAAAATTTCTGCCCAATTTTGTCGGAAAAAACTACTAGACTTGAATGAAATAGTTTTACTTATTTTTGGTAATACAAGAAATAATGAAGGAGCTTTTTAGCAGAAAATTTTAGTTCAAATAACAAATTCATTAYTTTTCTAGAAYCGTGGGAATTTTGGATAATTTAAAGAAAGTAAAAAAATTGTCTTTACACTGGTTTTTTTTTTTTTTTTTTTTTTTTCGTCTTCTTTCCCGGTACTAACGTCTAATAAGCTGAACATATATTTAAAATCTAGGCTCAAATGTTGGCTGCTAAAGTTTGTTTTTCAGTTAAGTGCCGAGGATGTTATTTTTGGAGTCCTCATAGAGCTGCGAGTTTCGGTGCCGTGGCTTGTAGCCGAGAGGATCCGCATATTTCTTTGACAATGTGACGAAGAAATTTATCGTCAATAAGAAGATAGACACAAAACAACTCATGTCTATTTGTTTTTTTACAATAGCAAAAACGATAAAAACTTATCATTTTTAGTGATCAAAACTACCAACGGGAAGAGCGCGCGCTCAGCTTTATCTGTCTGTCCTCTCAGTTATTGATGATAAAAAGGAGCCAAAAATTTGTAAGTTTTTTCAAATAAAAGACACTGTTTTTACATTGGAATAGCTGATTTTCCGCCTTTATATGGTGTCCCCATGAACCAATCAGAACGCTCGGTCTCATATTAGTTACCATAGAACTTTTAGTTGCTAGTTTTGCTAAAAATACTCGAAACCTTTGACGAGTTTTGATAGAAATTCCCCAAGCTGCCAATAATATTAGTTTTTGCTTGATTACGGAGTACACAAAGAAACATCTGTAATCAGAACGCTTTATTATCCTTCCTCTGAACGGKGAAGCTTGACGGAACAAACTTGTGTCTATTATTCAAAGACTGACAGGTTTGATATTTTGTCTCCTGGACCAGTGTTTGTCAATTTGTATTATTCAATGATACCAGCCGTAGTTTAGATAATTTAATGAATTTAACTCATAACTCTCCATTATTATGACTTAACAGGGCCAATTGTGGCGAATTTTGCGGGCTAAAACATATTCCGTTGGCATCAGCCAATCAGAAACGAGAAAAATAATCTATCCATCCAATAAGATGCTGTTGCTGTTATACTGTTGGCTCATTTTGATACCAAGCGTAGTTTAGATACCAATAAGTACCATAACTCTCTAATAGATCCTAAAGGCCTCATCTACATGGATTCTACTGCGTTTACTGCTGTTGTTGTTATGTTGTTGGCTGTGTCTTCGAGCTGGTTAGATTCAGTAGAGTCTAATAATGTTCTTTACACTATCAAGAAAGACCACAGACTCGCAGGTAAGTTCACGGCTGTGCCGCGTTTTCCCCACCAGGAGAAGCATTTTTTTAATAAAGTCATCCAAGATGGCAGCTTTGAAGTCATAGTGTGCAAACGAAGAATTACGTCTATTGGATAAGAATAACTTACAATGGAATATATTCTACCTGCAGCTAAAAATTGACCTCATTACGCATAATTAATACTCGCATTGTTGGATTGCAACTATTTACAAAAGACTAAAATGACAAAGATATGGCGGCCATGTTGGACCAACATGGTCACGATGACGTGACGTGTATACGAAGATTACTGAAGAATACTTTTTTCCGATATTTCATTAAGAAACAGAGCTTACCACGACAAAGAAAATGAGAATGCATTTCCCAATATTTTGCTTTCTCGATAGTAAAACTAAAATAATTTTAATTATAGATTACGTTATAACGAGTCAGCGGACGAATGGAATCCTGACATGCGCACACTTCTGCAGCATTAACTCCAAATGTACCTCCATTAATTACAAGTTAGTCGAAGAAAAAAGGCGAGGATTGTGTGAATTGAACAGCAAATCCGCTGTCCAGGGTGACAGACGACTTAGAAACTCACCAGGATGGTCATTTGCATATGTGACGTCATTAACACCAGGTAAGGATCATGCTACTAAAAGTTGGACCTTACTGTTTTATGCTGGTATTTTTTAAGTTCAATAAACAGGATGCATTTTGGTCTTACTTGGGTACAAACAAGGTATGATGGAGAAAAAAGGTTCGTACCCAAGCTAGACCACGATGCACCATGTTCGCTATATCAGAAAAGGTCTTGGTTTCATTCTTAGCTACCGAGATATTGTGAGCTACCCTAAAGGCAAGACTTGTTGAAAATCATATTTTTTTAGTCTTCTCAGCTACATTCACTAATCTTGGAAGTAAGGGAGTCGACGGGCCAGACAAAACAGATAGATATAAAGGAACTTCTCTAGAGGGACAAGTTGAGCTAAAGAACGGTATACAACTCTGGACAGTACCGTATACAGGACTGTACGAGATTACGGCTATGGGAGCCTCGGGTGGTAACGGGACCAATGGGACGTCCGGTGCGGGATGGAGATTGGGTGGCAGAGGAGCAAGAATTCGAGGAACATTTTATCTCAACGCCGAGAAAAAGCTAAAAATCCTGGTCGGTCAACGAGGAGGTGTGACAACAACGTTCAATGATCGTCCTGGGGGAGGAGGTGGGGGAACTTTTGTTACTACACTAGACGACAAACCACTGTTAGTTGCTGGAGGGGGAGGGGGTGGTGCGTCGATTTTTCCTCACGGCGACTGCAGAGACGGCGATCCTGGTCAAGCTACAGAAAATGGTACTCGTTATGGAGGAACGAATGGAAGTGGAGGAAAGAGATATGACAAGATTGGAGGTGTGAACCCGAGTCGCTTTGAAGGCACGGGTGGAGGTGGTTTCTATGGTGATGGCGCTTCGGCAAGCATCTCTGCTTTTGGAGGGTCAAGCTTCGTCAACGGTGGGACGGGTGGTAGAAGTAATGCCGGTGCTTCCCCTGGGGGGTTTGGTGGGGGTGGAGCTGGAACTCAATACCCGGGGGGAGGGGGTGGGTACTCAGGTGGGGGAGTTATGGGTGATGGACAAAACTTTGCTGTTGCAGGAGGAGGAGGATCTATAAATAATGGAAAAGAACAAGAGAATGAAAGTGGAGTAAACCTTGGGGATGGGAAAGTTGTGATTCGCTTCATAAGATAGATTATATGGAATTTCTATGGAAATGTGGGTATTTCAACAGAAGAAAATAACAGTGTATTTTTTTTTCTTCTTCTTCTTCTTTTTGATAATTCTATTGATTTCCTTATTCTGATGTGTGTAGTACTCGGTTTGCCAGAGTGCTTTGTGTTACAGATTCGTGCTTGTGCACATTGTCTATTGAACCAATCAGATTCGTGCTCGTGCAGATTGTCTATTGAACCAATCAAATTCGTGCTCGTGCAGATTGTCTATTGAACCAATAAGATTCGTGCTCGTGCACATTGTCTATTGAACCAATCAGATTCGTGCTCTTGCACATTGTCTATTGAACCCAATCAGATTCGTGCTCGTGCACATNTGTCTATTGAACCAATCAGATTCGTGCTCTTGCACATTGTCTATTGAACCCAATCAGATTCGTGCTCGTGCACATTGTCTATTGAACCAATCAGAGTGCGTGAAATTACTTCTAGCCAATCACTCTAGATAACCTCCAGAAATGTCAGTAATGTAAATATTCGCAGTGAAACGAAACCAACTCCAGCCATCAACTCATGAATTGAAATGATCTGTCGACCAGCCAACTCCGCCGACGTTAGTTTAAAAAAAACTGTTATATAAACAAACAAAATAAACATCAAACATCCTTTTCATCTACCAAGGATTTATTAAAAGTGTTGTGTATTGTCTGTAGCCGCACAAAACATATTTCATCTCTTCCGCTAAGCCTTGTGTCTAATGGCGCCAAATGATCAGTTTTCTTCTGAGATATCCTATTACATCATTCATCCCTCGCACAAATACGAACATTTTCTGACATGTCATCCCAATAACCTTCTGTTTATTCTGTTTGAATAAGGAGCTAAGCATTCAATTTGAGTCGGAGATCTAGCCCCCGATCTCAGCAGTGCGGCAAAACTGATTAGTTTTCTCGAATGCGCTGAAAAAAGTAATTGGGAACTCATTATCTTTTTCGGAACACCAGGCCAGGAACAATCGATGATCTTTTTCCCAGCACGACGCAAGGAAGAATCGAATGTTCAGAGCGCTGTAAGGTAGGAGTTTAGGAATAGCAAACCTCTTTTTCTAATCGAATAAGTATTGAATAGCTTTTGTTTAAAGTTTTAAATTGCTCATGGAATTATTTTATTGGAGCACGAGGCAAGGAAGAATCGAATGCTCAGAGCATTGTAAGGTAGGAGTTTAGGAATAGTAAACCTCTCTTTCTAATCGAATAAATGTTGAATAGCTTTTGTTTAAAGTTTTAAATTGCTTATAGCATAATTTTATTGGATTTATCCCTAGTTCGCACATCTTTTGCCGTCCTATGTCTTAGTGCAACAAATATATAGTTGTTTTCTCAGAAAAGTATTGCTAATTTTTGATCAAACAGTATGAACAAAATTTTGACAACACTTCATGTCACTTTCCGTTCTAAAAAAAAACTGTTTATAAAACAAAATTTAGCCTATTTTTTAAAAAGTGGTTTCGTTACTTTCTATTTTTCTATCATTTTCAAATCGCTTCTTATATAGGCAATGCAACTAAAAAGACTAGGAAACTCAAGAAGCCTAACACGTTGCAGGTGGGCCGACCGACTTGACTTTTTTCTGTTCAGTTCCAAACGAACGCAAAACAAAAACTTCTTTTTTTCTTATGTCGAATTGTTTTATTTTTGTCCGTGCCAAAAATTGTTGCAATTAATATACGATATTTTTGAATATTTACTACAGTAATGACTAACTAGACACGAATTCTCTGAAAACTGACATACAACTCCAGTGCATGACAAAAACTTAAACTTTGAACCAATTTTTTCTCCTGTTTTGTCTGCTATTGTTAATACTTCATATCATTATTAATTTTACTCCATGTACTAACAGTATGTTGATAAGACATTTAATATAGAATAGCGAGTTATTAATCCTAAATTCAAGGAACTGCTATGAAATGAGTTTATAATATATATTTATCGATAAAATGGATAAAAACCAAGCAAACACTGAGCGAAGACATGCTTTATCTTGTTCATGTCTAAACGAACCATTTGCTGCCTAGCAACCAACTGTATCTTAGCAACCTAATTACAAATATCGAGGAAGAATTCCAGTTATAAGGCCCGTTTACACTAGCGATTTTTGCTGCGATTTTGTCCATAATAAATAATGGTAAAGAATTTACTTGTAAAGTTTTTTTCAGGATACCAAGATTTTCCTAGACGAATGCGTCTCTTGAAGTATGAGACAAAAGATTTCATATTTCCAAAAATTGCCACAAAAATCTTATTTTCTTCTGGCTATAGACTTCTTATTTATTTTGCAGCGAGAAATAAAAAGGTTCAGTCTGGATCAGCTTTTTATTTTGACACAAATGAATCCCCGAAGGATATTTTTTCTTTTGCGCAGAAGGGGACTTCAGTGCCGACACCAATTTCGCATTCCATGCAAACCCCTGTTTTGGAGTTGAGACCACAGGGTTCATTTTCACATGCTTAGAATTCAATTAAAGTCATCTATTCACCATTTTCCAAACATCGGTTCACTGGTCAAACATAAAGCATTCAGTCGAGGTTGTAAGGTTCAAATTTGAATAATCCTTTGAAAGTACCTTGGCGCCTCGCTTGAGCGCTTTGTGTTTGACCAGTGAACCGTTGTTCAGTTTTGTGGCCCGTCAAGTTGGATGCGCACGCAACCTTGAGAACCTTATGATTGAAAAATGTCCTCCTGCAGCTCCAGCTTTACAACATTAAGATGTTTTTTTAAATTCTGCGAATTAGTTTAATAAGCTTTCTTGTTTCTTTCGGTAGACGTCAGATTATAATTTTTAATTCAATAGGGCATTACCATGATTAACATTTTGTATGATTGATTGATTGACAGGTAGACGTCAAATAGAATGAAGCACTTTATCTGTCTACTTCTATTTGGGCTAAGTCTTCTATTTTCAAGGACTAAATCACTTTACGACGAATTCACAACTCGATCTTCCAACATTAGAACATCTAACAACGCACGGCTATGCGGCTACGTTATATCAAAGCAGCGGACTTTCGACATACTCGGATGCGCACATCGATGTCTTTCTGATCGGAACTGCGCATCGTTAAATTTTCTCGATAAACCAGCAAGTGGAGATGGAATCTGTGAGCTCAATAGTGCGGAGTCATTTTATAATAACGAGGAGCCAATAGAAACTGATGGCTGGACATTTGGTTTTGTAGAAGGAAAAAACTGGCAGTTATCTAAAGGTGTGTTGGCATTGTATTTGAAATAAATAGAGGATATTACATGGGCGCGCGGAGATACGAAATTTATCTTCGAGTGTTGAAAAGATCTCTCACAAGTGAGCGCAGCGAACGAGTGAGAGATTTTCAACACGGGATGATAAATTTCGTATCTCCAAGCGCCCATGTAATATTCTGTTTATTATATAATTATCAATGAATAGCCATCGCAATTACATGTTATTTTCATACGAAATAGTAATGAAAACAACAAGCACTTTGCAATTACATGTTATTTTCACGTGTGAAGATATCAATTTTTCGAAATAGAGAAAAATAGATATTTCATTGGTAATTATATAATAAAACAAATCATTTTACATGCTATAAATAGCTATAAATTCTACATTGAATACCTTGAAACAATCTTCTTTCATCGACAGAATTTAACTTTACAAATCTCGGAGCTGTTGGAGCCAAGGGACCCACTAGCACTCTAGATTACAAAGGGACCAATTTGGAGGGCAAGGTACAGCTCCACAAGGGAATCCAGTTATGGACTGTGCCTTATCGAGGGACATACTCTATTGAGGCCCTTGGCGCATCTGGAGGCAACGGTACTAATGACACTCAAACGAGGTATTGGCGTACCGGAGGCCTTGGAGCGAGAATAAAAGCGAATTTCTACCTTAAAGAGGGCAGTGTTTTGAAGATTCTTATTGGCCAGCCTGGGTTGTGTGCTCCTATTGGCCAAAGAAGACCTGGGGGTGGAGGTGGGGGAACATTTGTCACGCTGGCAGATAACTCTCCGTTGGTTATCGCAGGGGGAGGTGGAGGGGGCGCAGCCCCATGGATTGGATTCCATCACGGTTATCACGGTCAGCTAACAACGAATGGTTCGATATACGGGGGTACCGGAGGGTCGGGTGGCTACCTATACGATATTTATTACAGGACATTTTTCAGGCGTTATAAAGCTGGAGCTGGAGGAGGACTAAAGACAAATGGAGCCTCCGGTAATCTGACTCAAGGAGGCTTTGCTTTTCTTAATGGAGGAGAGGGTGGGGTAGGTGGGGATGGTGCTCAAGGTGGCTTTGGGGGAGGGGGTGCGGCTTACCTGTATCCTGGAGGTGGCGGAGGATACTCAGGTGGCGGGGTTGTCAGGGCAACAAGGTATACAAAAGCAGGAGGGGGAGGGTCGTTTACAGCTGGCACGATGGTGGACAAGTCCCTGGCGACTCTACGAGGACCGGGTAAGGTGGAGATAAGGTTGATAAAACCCGATATCGGATGAAGTGATTATCTACAGGATATATGACAAGAAACGTGATGTTACCATCACTATATGTTACTGGGTACCACTCTCCTCCATGAGGACCAAACAAATGACGTCAAACCTCAAGGAACGTTACTATTCAGTCACATGTCACGTAATCGGCGTCACGCCACACTATGAGGAACATAACTGTATGGTCTAACGTCACAAAAAACTAAGTTACTTTATCTGTCACTGCCTAGTATTAACAATGTAGACCTCTTGCATTTGGCGTCARAGCAGCTCGATCTGGGGGACAAAACAAAAGAATTCCAGCACGTGATTACTGAGCTGCAAATGGTCTATTGAGCTGCATTCCAAAGTGATGCAAGGGGTCTATATCGTGTAAACCTAACGGAACGTTACTATTCAATCTAATGTCACGAAATGGGTGTCACGTCACACTATTAGAAACATAACTGTTTGGACTAACGTCACGAAAAAGTTCTTTTATCTGTCACTACCTGCACTACCTAATATTAACATTATATCATGTAAGTAATCGATAATGATGAAAAAAACTCAAAAACTCAAAAGAAAAAAAAAAAAAAAAAAAAAAACGAAAACAAATTCCATTGTTGTAATTATTGTATAATGCAGCGAATGTCTCTACCATCGTGGCGAAAGCTAATAATGTACGTATTTTTTCCGAACACCAGCTTGCTTGATATCCACATGACACTTCAAGTCAAGGCAGTGAATGAAAAAAAGACAGATAGATAATGATAAAAGTTGTCATCCTAACGTACGTATTTTTTCCGAACACCAGCTTGCTATATCCACATGACACTTCAAGTCAAGGCAGTAAATAAAAAAGACAGATAGATAGTGATAAAGGTTGTCATCCTAAACGCAAACAAAATGGCAGCTTACACAGAATTCAGGGAAGAAGTAATATGAGCTTCCTCGAACGCGTCAATATTGTGAAAATTGAATATACATGCGAGCCTTAAAACGAAAATGATAAAAAAAAGAAAAGTCCACATTGTATTGGAAGTTAAAAGGGAATAAACATCCGATGTCGTGTCCCTTCTCCTCCTTGAGACGGAAATCTCTTAATGCATTTTCGTTGTCATGGAGACCAGAAAACCTAGTTCACGCATGCGTAGGTAGCCAGAATAAAAACCAACAACGTATCTATAGAACTTTATGTTACAAATACATACATATGTTATATATATATATTATAAAAGCAAAAACATTTAGCTTGCATTATATTATACAAGTTATTGCATTGTTGCCAACATCTTTCCCGCGTTGTTGGAGCTTTTAGAGCTCTTTTAAACACGTTTTTTTGATATTAGCTGTTCAGCCATAAATCATCTATAACTGGTAAATATATAAATAGACATAGATATTAATATACAATATTATTATATTAAAATAGTTTTGATTATCGTAATATTTAAAGATATATAACTTTCAAAACGTCAGATTATTATAAACCTCTTCAGTGCGGGCGTAATGTTTTCACATTTCAGACCACGTGTCATTCCCTAGAGCATTATTTCTTTGTTTAACGGTTGCGCATGAGAAGACACGTGGATGTGGATACAACTCAAACAATCTTATTTTCAAGAGAATGACACATGGTCTGAAATGGGAAAACATTACGCCCAAGGTAAAGAGGTTTACTGAGAAGTAGTATCAGGTTTTAACTTTTGTTGATCAAAAGACTTGCAACAAGATGTCACGTGAAGAGATTCAATCAAACCGGCAGCGCAAATGATCAATATTATTATTTATCCAATCAGGATGCAACGAGATGTCACGTGATAGAATCGTTGCGACCCAAAGTAATTTTAGTTATTTTAGTTATCTAGTAATACAAAACTACTATTTATAAAGTCAATTGCTCATGATTTTTCTTACTGTTTTGCGACTCCGTCTCCTCCAAAGATGCCAGGTCAACGAACATTTTATGCGCGTCCTTCGGGAGCTCACAAATCCAGTCATTCTTCTCCATCAAATCAATCAATTCATTCAAGAGAAGACTTGCTCGTAGGGTGCTCAAAGAACCAATCAGAATCAGTTTGTTTTTGGCTCGAGTCACAGCTACGTTGACTCGGCGCCAGTCCTTTAGTAAGTCACCGACTGATGACGTATCGTTGCTTCGTACGAGAGAGACTAGGATACAAGGCTTGTCGCGTCCCTGGTACTTATCTACTGTATTGATTTCGAGGTCTTCACTGGATGCCTTGGAATTCTGGCTGAAGAGGAGTTCTCTGCGCAAGATAAATTGAAAACAATTTACCACAAATGTAAATTGTGGGTCTCTCCCATGATTCGAGTGTTTTTCTCTCTCCGCAAAATCTAACAAGCTAAATTCTAACTCAGTAGATCTGTTTATCAGCAGTGCCCTGACTTGGATCAGCCCAGGGGTCGATTTCAGAAAGCGACAGCAATTGAAATCACATTCCCGAGACTCGAATTCGAAAGGAAAAAAAGAAAAAAGAAATAAAAAGGAAGAAAATGAAATTAAAAAATTGCAATGCAATAGGTCTAATTCGTTGCGTTACAATGTCTTCCCATTTCAGACCACGTGTCATTCTCTTGAAAATAAGATTCTTTGTTTGTTTTGTATCCATATTCATGTGACTTCTCATGGACAACCATTAAACAAAGAAACAATACTCTAGGGAATGACAAATGGTCTTGAGAATAAGATTCTTTGTTTGTGTTGTATCAAATATTCATGTGTCTTCTCGTGTGAAACTGACCAAGTGCAACCGTTAAACAAAGAAATAACACCCTTGGGAATGACACGTGGTCTGAAATGCAAAGAAATTGTAACGCAACGAATTAGGTATATTGCACTAAATGGCTTACTTTATAAGTTTCAGCTGTTGTCGATAGGGTGAAATGATTCCAATAGATGATGAATCGACTCCACCCATTCTTAGTGCGCATGTCAGCTGCAGGATGAAAGTGGCTTCTGTCTCGTTCGACACCAGATGTCCATTACGAGTCTCGTACGCAGGCACTTGGTCCGTGTTCAGAAAAACTACAGGATGAGTGGGATCTAACGCATGCAACAGCCAATTATCTGGAAAAACAATCAAACTTGTCACTTGTATATAATAGTTATACAATACTTTCTCGTGGCACGCCATGGAATATCCCACTTGTCACTTATATATAATAGTTATACATTATGCTTTCTCATTGCACACCATGGAATATCCCACTTGTCACTTGTATATAATAGTTATAC